GCAAGTAAAAAGGGAATAGGCAGACCTATTTGCAGCTGAAAGGGAGCTGCCCAGATTTGCTGTTTTTGAAGAAGAAAATGAAAAAATAATTAAATGGGCTAGTGTCCTGAAGCTGCAGTTTTTCTTAAAAGTATAATTTTTAAAATCTCGATTCCCTTGGCTCCTCTTTTACCTAGTTTTATTTCTTGTATCCCACCCCATTTTCCCTCTCTGTCAGTCCCTTATTTTTAAGGGATTGAAAAAGACCAATGGTCTGTCTTCAGTAACTGCTTCATGCTAAGGAGGGGCATAGATCCTTAGTAGCCAGGGACAGAAAGTCTCATCCTGACTGATCCAAAGGAGACATAGGAATACCAGCTTCCATCTTTTAAAGAACCATCATCCTTCAATAGTCTGAAAAAGAGGGCAAGGACATACAAGATATTAGCCCACAACAATAATGAATCATGCAACAGACAAGAATTTCAAACCACAGAATCGTAGCCCCAAAAATGAGGAGTTTCTTGTATCAGGTTGTCCAGGAATCGGATGCCAGCCAGTCATTAAAGCTTGTGGCAGTCTGAGATTGCATTGATTTGTACATCGCAAGATGCAGAGAATACATTTGCAGAGTTGTCAGGAATGTACATACAATGTTCTGCTTTGATAATGGCACACATTCCACCTTGTGCTGCTGTTAGAATATCTAAGGCCATTTAGTTTTGTAGAATGGCTTTTCTCATCATCATTTTTACTTCTGAATTCATAACCCTTTTTGTGGATAGTTACTAAGAGATTCAATGTGCCCCATTACATCCTCAAGTCCTATTTAAGGAATAAAGATACCACCCAGACAATTATACCAGGAGGAAACTGATCTGGTTCATCAGTGCCTTAGGACTGGGAGGTCAGCTGGTTGATCTATGGCTGTAACCCAGCACTTTTGGACCCATGAATATCCTAATGTACATCTTCCTATCCACCCTGGAAGCAACCAAGCCCACAGGTTTGTACCACAGAGCCACTGGATACACTGGGTACCATTTGGTGCTAACCATCTTATCCCAGTTCTTGCCCTCCAGTCAGTAGCAAACAAGTCAGCATCTCTTAACACAACAGTGTGATTGCAGCCTTGGGTAGGAATCCACCCAATATCTCAGGAGGCATTGCTCCACTTATCATAAGTATGGCTTTTTTGTTCCCAACAAAGGAGTGCTAGTTGGCAGAGTTGCCCTTGTTGTATATTTATCAAGCATTTGATTTATTACTATTACTCTTTATAATGTTGGTTACACTTTACCTTTGGATGTTTAAATCCAAGTCAAAGCAAGACTTATGTTAAGCAAAATTAATCATGCCCTCTATGGATATATCAAAGTCAGCTCAGGCTCCTCAGGCACTACTTCTGGGGCCAAGGGCAAACCCTCTTAGCTCTTTGTTTTTCCTCTACTAGTTGTGTCATCTTCCAGGAAGGGTCATGGTCTTTGCTAGACCACATGGCTTCCCTTGGAAGCATGGGAACATTTCCCTCTTTATTAACCCTCCTCTCAGCACAATGCACACTGGTTGTCTCCTGTCCTTGGGGTCCATCTGTAGTCTATTTCTTTATTTCTTTCAGCTAATTCATTATTGGTGAAATGCTAATTTCTGTATATTGACGTATTTTGCAATTCAACTGAATTTATCACTTCTAACAATTTTTTTGGTGGAACCCTTAGGTTTCTCCTCTATGTGAGATCATCCCACCTGCAAACAGGGCTAGTTGGACTTCTTCTTTCCTGATTTGGATGCTTTTTTTTTTTTCTCTTACCTAATTGCCCTGGCTAGAACTTGCAGAACTATGTTGAGTAAGAGTGGTAAAAGCAAGTCTCCTTGTTTTTTTTATTTTTGGTACCAGGGATCAAACTCGGGTCCTTGCGCTTGCACAACAGGTGGAGAAACCACTGAGCTAAATTCCTGGCCCTAAATCTCCTTGTTTTGTTCCAGATCTTGAAGGATATGCTTTTAACTTTTCCCCACTTAGTACAATGTTAGCTGTGAATTTGGCAAATACGGCCTCTTGTTGAAGTGTATTCTTACTATACCTAATTTGTTAGTTTTTATCATGACGAATCTTGAAGTTTTATCAAATGGTTTTTCTGTGGTTACAGAGATGATCAAGAGGTTTTTGTTCTTTGTTAATGTATCATGTTTATTGGTTTGTTTATATCAAACAGCCTTGCACCCTTGAGGTAAATCCTAATTATCACGTATAATCTCTTTTGATGGGTTTGGTTTGCTGGTGTTTTATTGAGAATTTCTGCATCTATGTTCATCAGAAATATTGGTTTGAATTTTTCTTTTGTTACTGTGTCCCTATTCCATTTGGTTATTGGGGTAATGCTGGTCTCATAGAATGAACTTGGGTGAATCCCCTCCTCCATTTTTTTTTAAGATTTTGAGAAGAATTAGCACTAGTTCTTCTTTACATGTTTGGTAAAATTCAGCAGTGAAGCTCTCAGGTCCTGGCTGTACTTTGACAGGAGATATTTTCTTGACAGAAGAGGGCACATTGTAACCAAAGGCACAGAATGTTTTTCAAAAGATCATAAAGGACTACTATGAACAATTATATGCTGATAAATTGGTATTACAGCTGTAAAGCCGTAAGGGGAACAAACTGGACAACCTAGAAAAAAATGGATAATTTCCTACAAATATAAAACCTATCCAAGCAGACCAGTAAGAGTGAATCAGTAACTAAAATCTTCCAACAACAAAAGGCTCAGGAGCCAATTGGAAAGAGAAGAAACCAGTTAGCTGAAGGCAGTGAAAACAGGCAGCTGGAGTGCACTTGGAACCTAGCACATGAGACAGTTGAGAACAGGCCAAATTACTTAGGCCAGTATAGGTCATGTAAGGACTTCATTCTAAAGACACTGAGACGTCTTAGCCAAGTCTGTGATACAGCTGAGATCTGCACTTTTAAGAATCATCCTATTGTGAGGACAATAGGTAAGGGCAGTGAGGTAGGACACAGGAGCAGGAGTGCAAGTTCTCAGATTTAAAGATACGAGGACACTGGCAGAGAGATGACTGTGGCTTTCACTGAGGTGACACAAGAAGGAAATAGACTTGAATCAGGGAAATGTGTTTGGGTGTGCAGTGAGCATCCTCAGGACAGACAAGCTTAGGCATCAGGCAGAGACTTGCGCTGTGGAAGGAGTTAGGAGAAAGGCCTGCTATGTCAGGGAAACTACAGGAAAACAGGGCTGAGGAGGGAAAAACCCCAAACTACCTCGAATGCCCCAGCACACAAAACTGCACTGGGTATAGAAACAAGAAACAGGGCCACAGCGACCCTACACATCTCCCTTGAAGTGGCATGCACTACTTATAAAAGCCAGGGGCCTCCCCAGGGACCTGTCTGTAGGTCTTGTGGACTATGAGATGTCTCTAGGCTCCAAGCTCTTTGGCAGAGCCTCAGATACTCAATTATTCATTTGTTCATTCTACTAACCATGCTTGGCCACCAGATGCAAGGCATATGAGTACAATAACATGTCTATAAAATACCTTCTAGTCTATGACTGATGATGACAGCAATTCACAGCAAGGCAAAACAGTGGTGCAAAAAAGGAGGAATTCTAGCTCCTTGGCATGCTCATGAGCTAGAGCATGGTGAGACTGGAGGAATCAGATAGCATGGAAATCAGCAAGGAGAAGGTACAGCCTCAGCAAAGGTCCCAGAGTCTGACTGCAAGGAAGAGAAAGAGCACTGTCCTCAGTAGGCAGCAGGAAATGTGTGCTGAGACACTAGCCACGGTTGAAAGGTGCTCATGGGACCCTGCTGTGAAGCTCTCATCTCTCGGGCTCTCCCTTCAAGCCTGCAGAGCTCCTCCAGATAGTCCCAGCTGGTCACTCCTGCCTGGGGTGCTCTTAGCCCCTGTACATTCCAGATCATTTGGGAAGCCCTACAGCCCCCTCCAAGCTGGGTGGCCTCCCAGGTGGGCTTTTTACGTGCCCCGCGGGGAACACATGCAGCCCCTTCCCCGTAACACAGCCTTTTTCCTCCTTTACAGCACCCATCTGCCCCAGCCTCTCCTGTTGCCTAGCAACATATTCTGTTGCCCACAGGATCAGCCATGATTGCTGTGCTTCTTTCCAAGCACAGTCCACTCCCAAAGTACAGACTATCCTCTTAACCGATCCAGCAGCCTCACTCACTGGCAGACTGCAAAAGCGTTCCCAGTCACTCAGAGTCTGCATTATACATTCATCCCAATGGAGAGCATAGAGGAAGGACAGGGAGGATTACCATGGAAGGCACATCTGGATTTTTTCACGGATGAAGAGTGTGTACGTGTGTGTACACAGAAGAGATCCTTAATATATGGCCAAGTGTCCTTTGATTTCCTCCATGGATTTATTATAGTTTTCAGTTTCCTATGCAGAAAACTGTATAATAGTCGATTTTATTACTGAAAGGGTAATTTACCTGTTTCTGTTTGTTGGTGTTTTTGGTACCGGAGATCAACTCACAACCTTGTGCTTGAGAGGCAGATTGCAGTGCCACTGAGCTAAATCCCCAGCCTGAAAGGGCAATTTAAAATAACTTTTCTACCTTAAAATGCACTGGCTCAGGGTGGCCTAACATACTTCAGAGGTGGGGAGAAGGGTCTTACTGTCACCCAGGGACATGCTGAGAATCAAAAGGCTAGTGTTTTCCTGACCGTTTTTAGCCACTCCTCTTCAGTGGTAGCCCATTAGAAAACTGCTCCTTTTTAGTCACCCTTTCCTTCCTTTCATTCGGATAAGTGACTTTTGCTCTCTCAGACTCTGTCGCCCAACTGGAAGCCCTGGTCTAGGAGACAACCTGACCTCCCTACCACTCCCCGTACTTGTGCAGTTCCTGCAGAATTGCATCAACTCAGATAAAGCCTCACTGCCCTCCCAGATGAATAGTCACGTTGCTCCAGGTCCCCAGAGGTCATCGCCTGCCTAAACCACCTCCACATCTCAGAAAATGCTTCACACAGAAGTTTGGAATCCTGGGAATCAGTTCTCATTTTATTGTACAGTACATTCATGTAAGTTCCTGCATTTCCAAGGTAACCAGATCACATTCAGGTTAGCTCTGCTGGTAACAAAATCATACAACTACCCTGGCTTAAAAACAAGATAAGGTGATACACATTAATACTTCTTTCCCTTTAATACTGCAGAAGACAATACATCACAAAATAAATCTTTAAAATCACATGCCTTGTACAATCCAGTGTGAAGGCATTATAATTACGTTAAAATTAGACCTTATAGGACATAAGTTTCGAAATCCTCTAAAATTTCCCCCAGTGCCATCTTCTAATTGCCAGGGGGTGGGGGGAGACAGACACTCAGCTTCAATGCCTCGAGAAGGAAGGGTGGGAAAGCAAAGGGTCATTTGATTCCAAAACTCATGGCTTGTCAGGCTATTCCTATAAAAAATTACTTAAATAACCTAAAATTTTAAACAGTTAATGTGAATAAGGGATGGTAATAGGGGAAGCACCTGGGAAAACTTTCACTAGTCATGGATGGGAAATTTAACCTGCAGACATCCCACAGGAAAAGAAAACAAGGAAAATCTGAATCACACCCCATAATATGCCAAGTTCTCAAGGTACATTTCATTGTACTAAATGAATACACAGTGATCTGTGTTCTGAATAATTCAGAAAAACCTCCCACCTGCAATATTTCCTGTAGATCATCTTACCACACTCAATGCTTAGAAAACCTAAGAAGCCAAACTGAGCTATAATAACGACTAAAACAAATTAGGTAGGAAAAAATTCAGCTGTGTGAGAAAGCAAGAAATTACATTTGTTTGGATCTTTTGTTAAATAAAAAAAAAAAATGCCATTATAAAATGCTTTGGACCCTGGCCCAACACAGCCGGAATGATGAGTTACTGAAGATGGGACAACATGAACGTGGAGCACCTCTCTACTAGCAGCGCATGTGCTACAGGTGTAACAATTAATTCACTGCATAAGAACATGATTCAGAATGCACTCAGACTTGCCGTTAACACCAGTGACAAATAAGGCCCTGCCACATGCTGCCAAACAACTGTTGGTTCCTGAACTTACACTTACCAGGTTACAAATGAAACTGATACACATATTTGCTGATCTTGAAAGAAATACCACCCCTTTCAAGGTAGAAAAGTATGGTGGAAGGGGGACTAAGACACTACTTAAGAAAGTCACAGAACATCTTACGAAAAACCAGAGCCAGTGCATATTTTACAACCCCTGAAGAGAGCCCCTGCAGCAGGTCAGGTGGGCGAAGGGAGCAGTGGTGTTTCTGAAACCAGAATGACTTGCAGCTAACTGCCTAACAGTAAATTCACAGAGTAAAATGCAGAATAAGTCAACATGTAACCAAGGTTTACATTATATCTAGAAATATGTTTTATGCTTTAAAAAAATTGTAATACACTCCAAAAAATGTTCTGATAATTCATGTACAACAGAAGGCACTGTTATCCGCATAAATCTATTGATTCTGCACGGCAAAAACCTGAGACGTGCATGTTGACCCAATCCTGTAAAAGCCACCCGGGGCTTTCGGTGTGTGGAGCAGACGGTTGTCCTTTTCAATGCAACGATTCTGTTTTCCTGACACTCATACATTACAGTAGCTGCTGAAAATATGTGTCTCGGGGTGGGCAGGGTCACAGGGAAAGGAGTGGACAGAAGTGCTGCCTGGTGCGGCAGGAGGCCCTGAAAGCATCCCTCACCTCCACCCCTGACCTCACACCCTGTGAAATCACACACATCTGTGACACATCAGCTGATGTCCCTTTCTTCAGTTGTTGCTGGGCATAGTCCCAAAGTTAAATGCAGAGAGAACGCCTTTGTTTTCAAACGTGAAGCCACCCTGCTGTTCAATCTTCTTCTTTGCCTCTAGTAATTAAAAAAAAAAAAAAGAGTATTTAAGACGACAAAATTGGGAATAACCTCAAAAGAGCCAGATTCTTTATATAACAGTGGTGGCGAACCCATGGCAGACATGCTGCAGCCAGCTGCTTATTATCAAAAGCTCTAAAAGGTTCACCATCTCTGTTATATACTTGGACCTGTGAAGAAATGTGACTCACAGTATTAGTTACTCTGCCAAAGTAAATGTCAGCCCTTAACAGATCCATCTCAATAAGTAATTATGCTTATTTTTCACAGAAAAACTTCTAAAAATGAGTGAAATAACAAGTCTCAATGCTGATTTTTTTTTTTTTAGTACAGGGGATCAAACTCAGAACCTTGCACTTGCAAGGCAGGCATGGTGCCACTGAGCTAAAACCCCAGCCCTTGATGCTGAATTTTTTTTTTTAGGGTGGGGGGGTACCAGGGATAGAACTCAGGACCTTGTGCTTATGAGGCAGGCAGTGGCACCACTGAGCTAAATCCCTGGCTCAAGGCTGAATTTTTAATATCTTCCATCTCTATGGATGAAAGGGGACCCAAACGTCACCCAGACAATCTGAAGACCTGAATCTCTACAGAAGAACCAGAGTTCTAAACTCTAGATGCATATAGTTCATATTTCCTATTAAATTTCTGCAAAATCTTTTCCGCTGATAATCTAGGAGTGACTAATCTCGATACAAAATAATTCATCCAGCTTAAAACTGAAAATCAACAATAGTTACCAACATAAAGCCCAAAAAATAGAAATGGAGAGCATGTTATAGTTTAGCTACTAAATTTCCCCAAAGGCACATGTCAAAGACCTGGGCAGCAGGCTGTGACAGGAGGGGTGGGGGCCTCAGGAGTGAGTCCCAGGAGGAAGTCAGTCCCTGGGCTGCCCTTGAAGGGGACATGGGGATGCTTGCCCCTTCTTCCCTTTCTTCCACTCCCCAGCGGCCTTGAGGTGAGCAGGTCTCCTGTGCAACATGCTTGTGCTGGGATGCACTGCCTCGCCACAGGGCCAGGGGACATGAGCTAAAACTGTGAGCCAAAATGCTCTGTTCCCCCTCGTAAGTTGATTTCCTCGGATATTTTGTCACTGCAACAGAATGCTGACTGATGCACCTTTCATTTCTAGGGGTACTAGCTCCTTGTAAGAACTAATGAAGCACAGGTTTTTACAGAGCTAAGGAATGTGATGAGTGATTAAAAAAACAACTATTCAATAATGACAATTCATCACTATCATGAAAGTTTGGTCTCTAACAATTTTGTTTTTTAAGACAGGGCCTCACTGTGTAGCCTAGGCTGGCCTTGAACTTGCAGTAATTCTCCTGCCTCAGCCTCCTGTGTGCTGGGATGAAATTGTTGGAGGTTTGGCCTCTAACAATTTAAAAAATACTACTTCAGTGTCACCTGGCACATCAAAGAAGCCTGACCCCTAGCACTGCCACACGCACTCCACTGTGGAGGTGACCAGCTGACCTGCCACCGTCCTTCGGTGCTCTGCCAACGTGTACACCTCCTGCAGCATCCTCTTCTGGTCATCACTCAGAGGGGCCATCAGCAGCTGGTACCAGGCAGCATCCCGACTCTGCACACCTGTTGTTTCAGGGGTGTGTGGGAGGAGGAGGGAAAGAGAAGAGTCCAGAGACAGTTATTATCTCAGAGGAATGCCTAAGAACCAGAGTGATGAACAGAGAATTCCTTCTGAGCACCCTCTCAGAACTCAACTATGGGGCACATCAGAGGAAGGTGGGACCGAGCTCCACCTTGTGGAGTCCATCTCCTCTACTTCTTTCTGGAGTTTACTAATTGCGGGTGTTCCCTGAAGTCTGGTCTTAGGGAACACCTGCAGTCACTTATTAACCTATTTTGCTGTGGAACTTTCACACTCCTACTTCAGCACTGCTTCTACACCAAGACTCTGATCTGCATACCTTTAGGCTGAATCTTCCCCTTACCCTACTGGGACTTTCCGTTTCAACAGTTCCCCTCAAACTCAGCACAAATAAAAGGAAATTTACTTTTTCATTCCAGCCTCTCCTTATGTCCCCATTTCCATCACTATTCCTTTAGTCTCTCTTTAGTCTCTTCTAGGTAACCACTGTGAACCCTTAACACCTTTGGCAGGTGCAGTGGTCCAAGCCTGTAATCCCAACACTTTGGGAGGCTGAGGCAGGAAGATCAAAAGTTTGAGCCCAGCCTAGAAACTGAGCAACTTAGCAAGACCATTGTCTCAAAGTCAACAATTAAAAAAGGGCTGGGAGTGTAGCTCAGTATGAAAGCCCTGGCTTCAATCTCCAGTACTTCCTGCTTTTCTGTTGCAATGCCTGACCCATTTATGCCACAAGGATAAACAGTATCTGTAGATCTCCTGAAATTCGTCTGTGAGGATAACCTACAAGCCTTGCCATGCACTTTACAGAGAAGAAGTTGGTAGGACTGGCTGATGAGTGCTTCAATATGCTTAATTTCTCAGTTTGTGTATGTTTAGATATTTCTGTAACAAAAATGTATTTTTTAAAAAGACTCCAGACCAATTTTTGGGCAGATTCTAAAACAACTTCTAGCAAGAAGAAATAAAGTTTAGAAAAAGTATCTCAAGATTCATAAAGACATACTCAGCAGAGCCTGTGTGAAAAACTGATATTCATCCACACTGTTGTCGAGGTCAAGCGGAGTGCTGAACCCTTCCAGGGCAGTTTCTTCCAGCACTTCTTCATCCCAGTCCTCCTCCTCCTCCTCCTCCTCCTCCTCCTCACCCCTCCTGTTATTTGACTGCATGGCTTGAGCACTCACATTCATCTCCTCCTCATCACTGGAAATCTCCTCTGTGAATCCATTCATCATTTAAAAAGAATCAAACACAAAAGGACATAAGGGTCCATTAAAAAAAGATTATAAAATATTCTGGAAATGGACATTTTACCACATAATCTTACCTGGAATTATAAAAATAAACTTTATTGTAGTTTGCCAAATTGAGAATGTCTTCATCCCCTTTGAACACAATTTCCCTAAACCTGTGGTCCAGCTGAACATTAGTACTGTTATGCTATGGCTGCCCCATTAATGTAAGAATACTTTTTAACTACAGGTTCCCCATAACTTCTTTTTGTCAAAAAAGGACAAAATGATTGTAGAGTCTGTATGCATGTTCTAAGTAACAAGGACCTCTCATTGAGAATTAAGGTCTCTTAACAATTAACTAAGCACATTATGAACTGCTCCAAAATGCTCAAATGGGGAGGTCATTTCTGTCACAGAAATAATAAAAATACAAAAATGTAAAGAAAAATAAAGAGGTAGCTACACACGGCTTGGAAAAGTAAAAACCCAAATTAGATATCACCTATTTTCAGTAATAATCTGTTCAGTTAGATGTGCACTGCAGCTGGAATTCTGTAATCAGAAGGCATTAAATGCAGAATAAACATCAACCTAAGAAGAAAATCCTGGAGTAAATCCAATCCAGGAAATATTAATATAAAACTGGTTCCATAAAACATGCCATACTGAAACTACCACATTAAACATGGATAGTTTTAGGGATAAATCAAAAAAACCATAGTTTTAGGCCAGAGATTCAACTTGGTGGTTCCACTGCCTGCTTCATAAGGGCAAAGTCCCAAGTTTGATCCCTGGTACCAAAAAAAAAAAAAAGAAATCATAGTTTTGGACCAGATGTGTGGAAGGAAAAATAAAACATGTCAAAGGTATGATTGCAAAGACAGCAAGAAATAATGTTCCTAGTTAATCATTCCACACTTTAGTGGGCAATTTAACAAGCCACTCTGGGGATATTACTAGAAATTTTTCCTTCAAGCCATTAGTTAGAAGCTAATAAATAGGAAAGCAAAAAATTAGAGAACGTAACATAGCAAAAAAAGAATTCTACAATTATTGGCATATGCTTAGCTCCCTCCATATAACAAAAGGAAACATCTAGAAAGAAATATTACTTCAAAAGACCTACTTTGAATTCAGAAAAACAAATCAGAAGGTGTTTTGTGTCTTCAGTGGGAGAAGGGCAGTTTAACATCCGTGTATATGAACAAACTGCCAATTAAATGAAGAGTGTTTTAAATCTATCCTTGCTAAAAATCCCAGAATATAGCATAAAAATAGACTTATGTGTTTTTCTGGAAGAATTCTGATTTTTTTGGCAAAAAAAAAAAAGAAAGAAAGAATTGTTTTTAAACAGAAGAGAAAAAACTCTACTGAAGAGGTGGACAGTGCTCCTTCCTAGTCCCCAGCATAACGTTCTATAATCTCATCGTTAAATAAAATGATGGTCTAAAAGTCTTGACACTAACAATCTCTCAATTGAGAAAATCATATTTATGTCCTCTGTTCTCAATTTACATGTAAAGCACTTATAATTTTTGAAGATCAGTCCTTTTGTTTTCTTTTTTTTTTTCAATCAGACAATTTCTATCAATCTATTGTCCTGACACTTCTGTTCTTAGTGGTTCATTTAATTCAAGGCTACTGCCTTAAATCTATTAGCACAAACAAGAAAATGAAACAGTAGGTTTCTAACCTATAGTCAAGACCATTTGATTCTGTTACAAATATATTTCTCAACCTAAAACAACACCCATGAGGCTCCACTTAAAAATCATGGCAGTTTTAAGTGTCAAAGCTAAATTTATCCCACTTGAGATAATCAATTACAAGGAACCAAGCCCATGATATTTATTAATGTGCAGTACACCAATGAATATAAATCTCCTTAATGACTCTAAACAACTAAAATTCAAAGAAAACACAAGCTCAATTCAAAATCAATTCCAACATGCATTGTAATTAGAAAACTTTACCATTTTCTTCCATATCAGCTTTCTCTGCTTTTGAATGATCTTCCCGGTTTACCAGTTGTCTAGTAGCACAGACCTGCTTTAGGCCAAGGAAAAGGAAAAGAATTGAGGGAACAATTTGTCCCACCACAGCTTCTACTGCAGGAGGTCGATTTTGTAATTCCAGAAGGATGCTCAGTCCTATTATACACATCTTCCGGTCATGATGCCTGTAAATTGTGAAGAAAAAAATTGAAAAATCCAAATTGTGAAGAAAAAACATGAAAAATGCAGTGAAGGGGGTGGGGATGTAGACCAGTGGTAGAGCACCTGCCTAGCATGCGTAAGTCCAAGTTCAATCCCCAGTACCACACACACACAAAAAGCAATAAAGACAATATCCAGAGAAACTACCAAAAAAATGCCCAAGATATACGCTAAGATTCATCAGAATTATACAGAAATAGTCCCAATTTTGTACTGTATGAAGTGCTATAAAAATCAAATTTTGTAAACCAATTATTACCATCAAGGACCTATGGGAACCTGAAATTATTATAATGAATCTTGCTGTAATATCAATTTGTGGTTAAGGCTAATTCTCTAAATGTTGGCATAATGAATGCTGTTAAAGTACAAACATGTGCATTTGACAACATAAAATTCCTATACAATGGGAAAAAAATGAAGTTCCCTAGACTCCTCTGCCATGAGACTGGTCTTCAAGGTTTCTTGGTACATGTACTCTGTACTAACCCGGGTGCCAAAAACACGTTCACAAACCTCACATCTAGTGTACTGATCCTAATGGCTATGAGTAAATCTGAGTATCCTCTGCTACAGCACAGCATAAGAAGAATTCAATCCTGAAGGAAAACTGGCCATTAGACACTTTTCTATGAAGTGCTTCTTGAAAGTGTTACAAGCTACAGATTTTAAAAGACTACTATATTAGTAAAACACTCTTAAAAGAGCAAGCATGAAGAAAAAAAATCACTTGCCATGATTTATTTAAAATAAGACTAGAACAAATTGATGAGTATATCATGACCTACTGTTATTCTTCATTATCCACACTGCTTGCTTATTTAAGTCACTAATGCCCAAGCAGTAGGATATGACAGGACCTACACTTGACCTGAAGTTTTTCTCATTCATGTAGTTCCTGACTGGGAGGGTACACCAGAAGCAACTGGTCATAGCAGGAAGAGGATTCTCTAGTGGGCCTCTACAGAATCCAAAAAAGCACTATCCAAGGATGGCCAACTATGCCATAGCTAAGAGAGAGAGCCTTTCTATCTGAAAAATTGCTTGCAAATACTGAAAAACACATATGAATAAGGTCATGCCTGCCTGAATGAGACCTTCACAAGCAAACAGGCCGCTCTCAGCAAACAACTGGCTAATCTCAGTAAATAGGACAGATGAGGGGCCGGGGATTTAGCTCAGTGGCACTGCACTTGCCTTGAAAAGTGCAAGGTCCTGAGTTCAATCCCCGGCACCAAAAAAAAAAAGAAGTAAATAGGACAGATGGCCATAAAGAAAATTCAATCTCCCTGGCACTGAGAAGTCCAGCAATTGTCTGCACACCTGCACTGACTGTCCTTGGACCCTCAGTCATAAATATTCCTTATGATCACAGCCCCTTTCCAAAAACCTATAGAAATGTACTTTCCTTTCCCAGGTAGCTGCTGAAATCTGTCCCCAATCTCAGTCTCTATTCACGCCTGGACTGTAATAAACCTTTTTTTTTCTCACAAAGCCTGTCTACATGTGGCCCCACACATGCCATTTATAACAAATACCAAGTGCATAACTACATGAACAAATTTCTACTCTCTAAATCTTTGTCAGTGATAACTTTTAGCATAATTTCTTTTCTTTTCTGTTTTTTGTTTTTTTTTTTTGGTGCCGGGGATTGAACTAGGGACCTTGTGCTTGTGAGGCAGGAGGCGGAGCCATTCAGCTAATTCCCTGGCCCTAGCATAATTTCTTTTTGAAGTATGTTCTTCCCTTCAAAGTTTTAACTTTGTTAATCTTAATATAAGATAAATATCAGTGTTACGTCTTATATCCAGGTGTCCCCCAAAAGCCTCAGGTAGCCATAGGTGGGGCTTTTTGGAGGTAGCAGATCTAAGGCAGTGATGGCAAACCTATCAGAGCTTTCAATGATAACAAACAGCTGGCTGCAACACACATGCAGAGGTTCACCACACTGTTCTAGGGTGTGTGATGCTGGGATTAACAATGTGTGAGTACTAAATTAGTCCACTGATTGGTTTAGCATAGTTCTGGGTGTGGACAATGCCTGTGCGTGGCTACCACCCAAAAGATAGGTAGCCTGGAAGGGATAAAAGGGGAGAGGCAGGTTGTTATGGCTGCTGCTACTTGCTGTTTTACTGACTCCTGCCTGCTTGCCATAGTTTGTTTCTCCTCTGTGATACCCCTCTGCTATGCCACCCTGTCTTGAAGCCAGCAGACTGAAACCTCTACAAATTGTGAGCTACAATAAATCTTTCCTCCTTTAACTTTGGGTGTCAGGTATTTTGTCTCAGCAACGAGAAAAGTAACTAAAACAACCAGTTTCCTAAAAAGTAGACAGTATAAGGGCCGGGGATTTAGCTCAGTGGTTTTGCCACCTGCTGCGCAAGTGCAAAGGACCCGAGTTCAATCCCCGGTACCAAAAAAAAAAAAAAAAGAAGTGGACAGTATAGGACATACATAGCATCTTGTAAATACATAATACATTCACCCAATCCTACTCTACCAGCCTAATCTAGACCTCGGCCATCTCCCACCCACATGGCAGCATGCTAACCCCTGCTGGATGTCTACTTCTCTCAGCAAACTGTCTTCAGTGATATTTTACAAAACTTAAAAAGAGCACTGCTTATTTCCAGTACTTTTAAATAATTAGACAGCAGTCTAGCTCAAATTCCAGTACAACATGGTCACTACAATGTTTGTTTGACCCAAGATAGGAACATAACCACTACTTGGGACCTCACTTTTCCTACATTTGAAAACAAAGAGAGTGCTTCCCACAAAGCCAAACTCTCCTACATTGGCAGCACTTGCTACAACTAACACTCCTCCAACCCCACACTTGAGAACAGCTTATCTTGAGATCTGCAAAGAGGTATAAACACTCTGGAACACTCAGCACATTGTCTTTACCCAACTGGGACCTTCCTGAGAAACCTGACTCTATTCATAATGCTTAGCCACAGACACTTATAGTCTCATAATCCACATGGATATTTAACTTATTGCCTAGACATAATGATACACATAAGTAAAAAGCAAGTGGAGATAGGACCCTTAATTATCCCAAGCTGTGTTCTTTTACTAGATTATATTGCTGAAACAAAGTCTTAATTCTCTAAAAATTAAATATTATGTTAACAGTCCACTAAATACATTATTTTTGCACATGTACATATTAAAAAGTAAACTTTGCAAAAATAGTAAAGTAGTATAAAATCCAAAAGGCACATACCCAAGAAAATAATCTGTATCATTCATCCACTGATTTACAAACTGTACAGTAATAGGTCCAGGGTTGTGAGGCAGCCGAACTCGTTCTAAGGTGTGCAGCAGCAGGTCAGGGTTGTAGTACAGGGCAGCGATCGCAACCTGCAGACACATTGTGCGGAGCTCACTTGTTTTGACCCCTCGGGTTAATCTCTCCAGAACAAGTTGGACAAAGAGTGGGATGCACTATAAGAAAAAGGGAAAACAAGAGTCAGCTACACACAGAGCAACCAAGTCACTCACCAAACACTGCCTGCTGATGGAGAGTGTTAGCAGTAAATAAGAGTCATGACGACAATATATGTTTACTCACATTGTTTTTAAGACTTATTTATAAGTTTTATATTCTTACAAAACCCAGAGAGCGGAATAAATAAAAAGTCCCAAAATAGTGCCAGGAACTCTCCTTCCTCCTTAAGTGCACAATGGCTTTAGTGGGAGATCATCCTGTAAGAGCCACACTCCATTGGTGGCAATAACTCACATGTGGACTTAGCTGTTTCTCTGGTTAAGGCAAAGTGATGGCAGTGGGATTTTTCTCTGACAAATCATATTGGAAATAAATGAACAGAGCAGAGAATAAGTATGACACATGCAGATATCTCTTGTAAAAAAAATTCTATTAGTATACATAAAAGATGAAAAAGGCCAAAAAGTGGAGAGTCCCAAATATTAAAATAAAATCATCTAACTCCAATTACAACTCTGAATTTATTTCTCACTAGATACAAAGTATTCACAGTTCTGACTGGATAGCATAACACATGTATGCTACAAACTACATTAAAAATTAACACCATGGTCAAATAATTAGTTAAGAAACAATGAAACCACAGGAAATGTAAACTAACTTTGAAAGGATCTTTTTGAGATGCTTTAAAATTTCATTTTAATGAACATTTATTATTACATGCAAAGCAGCTAAGAATACAAAGGAATCTTGAAGTCTTAATAACCTAGTAACACTAAGATTACCCCTTTACATATTATAACACAATCAATTGTGGGGCCTGGCTGGACAAACTGAGTGAATTCACAAATACAGCACTACAGGGCTGCAAAAGGAATGCAAATCTCTGTGCGTGACTGTAGTGTGACCTACAAGATCTACTACTAGTATGCGAGGGTGGCAAGATGGGAACAAATGTGCGTGTTGTGTTCCCCCAAAAATAAGACCCAGCTGGTAACTAATCAGCCTTGACAGCTAGAGCTCAGAAATGCCAGCCCCAAACCACCCATCCTTGCCTTATCTGCCATCACCATTCTCTTGTTCAGTGGCCACTCTGTAAGGGAAGTTAAGGCAAGGATAAGCTGTGTAGGGCTGGCATTTTTTATCCCTAGTTGTCAAAGCTGATTATTTTCTAGTCAGGTCTTATTTTCAGGGCAAGCCAGTAGTATGCTACTGTTTCTCTAAAAAGAAAAGGAGATAATGAAAGTAACTACTGTTTTTTAAATGATAAAATGAACTAATAATGGGGGAAAAACCAGGGAAGAAAGAAGGGTAGAGTGGTAAGAGATGGGAGCTGGACTTCCCTGAATGTACTTTGTTTTTTTGTTTGGTTTTTTTTTTGTGGTACCAGGGATCGAACTCGGGTCCTTCAGCTTGCGCAGCAGGGGGTGAAACCACTGAGCTAAAGCCCCGGCCCTGTACTTTGTTTTATAAATTAGACTTGGGACCACGTGTATGTTCTATATATCCATTAAATTTTTTTTCTTAAATTCTTTTATTGGTACATTGTAGGTATACAACACAATTACATTTCTCATTGGGAATTGTACCTTTACATAATGCATCTT